AAGAGGAAGTTCACTGCCACAAAACAAGGTGAGGAGGGATTCAAAAACACACAGCAGGAAGCACTCTTATTCAAGTGTTTTTTAAAAAATATTTAAACAACTCTTTTTTTCTTGTCAATATTTTTATAATTTCTAAGTGGTTTTAAGGATCTTGAGAAAAAAATTATTACAGAAGTATCTACTAATATTACTAGTCAAGAAAACAAATTTAGGTAGAGGAAATACTTAATATTTTGTCCTCTATACATCTTAATCATCCTAATGGCAAAAACTCACATGAAACTTTAAAATACAAGGTAATATGGGAATCTCAACATGGAAAGTTGTCACTATAACTACAAGCAGTGTACAAACATGCTTCTACTTTAACCTACATAAGCTGACAGATGTTTAAAATACTAGTTTAACAAAGATCTTTTAGTAAAGTGACTTAAGCAGGCTTAAACTAGAAAGGATTAAGGATGAATCCTTACTATTTAATTGGAAGATCTGAGACATATTTTATATTTCATTTTACAAAATCAGAAATATTTATTTTGAAACAAGATAAGAAGACATGGTCTGCCTGTCTAAAAGCCACCACTCAGAAATATTTTTCATACTCAAAGCAGGAAAAACATAAAACCAGTTAAATTTCACATTGGCACCAAAAAGGTCAATTGCCCTGCCTTCGTGCATTAGAAAAACTAAAGCTGAGTGATAGTTTTGCAGGCATTTGAACACGTCCAAGACTTTAAATTAGCAAAATATTTTCTAAAAATTTTGATTACAAAATTAGTACATACTTATGAAATAATTCAAACAGAGCCAGGTGTGGTGGCTCACGCCTGGAATCCCAGCACTTTGGGAGGCGGAGGTGGATATGTCACCTGTGGTCAAGAGTTAGAGACTAGTCTGGCCAATATGGTGAAACCCATTTCTACTAAAAATACAAAAATTAACCAGGCATGCTTGTGGGCACCTATAATCTCAGGTACACAGGAGGCATGGGAGGCTGAGACAGGAGAATCACTTGAATCTCAGAGGCGGCAGTTGCAGTGAGCCGAGACCACGTCACCACACTCCAGTCTGGGCAACAAGAGTGAAACTCCATTTTTTTAAAAAAAGTTGCAAACAGAACAAAATGAAAAAAATGCAAAGCAAAAGGCCCCTATAAAAACCCCTCTGGGACCCATCGCCCTACTCTCACTCAAGAGAAACCACATTTAACACTTTGATGCTTATCTTTCCAAATCTTTTGTTTTACACATATAAAAAACATACAGGCTTTGATTTGCCTCGGACTGTACATAGTGTTTTCCCGCTTGCATTCTACACTTAATATATCTTTATCATCTTTCCATGTCAGTGCATGCTGTCTCGATGGCATTCTATCATTAAAGACCCTTTCAAAACTGGTAAAATCACTTTAAAAATTCAACCACACAAGCACATGTTTAAATTTTAAAAGAAAACGGACAGAATCCTAAAACACAAAAACAAACCTCCAAAAATAATCTCTATCTTTCCACCAGCATGGAACAGTTCATTCCTTTTTCACACAAAACAAAATTATGTGATTTTGAAGATTAACTCTAATCTCCACATTTATATACAGAATGCTCCATTTGTTAAGCCTATCTGAAAAGAATAAAAAAGTTCAGATGATTAATTCACTTACACTTAGAAATTAAGTAAATATACTATGAATACACATTGTGATCAGTTATATGATGCTTCTTAGTCTAAGCTTTCAATTAAATAACAGTAAAAAAAAATGGATAAATAATACAGCTACTACCTAAAACATCCAGAAATTCAAAGATTATATTGCCAACTAAAACACTGCCATTTGCTTTTTTTTTTTTTTTTTTTTTCCTACTTGGTAGCAAATGCTAATGGAATTCAATCCTGGTTAGTTAAAGTCAGTTCACATCACACATTCAATCAGGGTAATAAGAAGAACCTAATATGCCTATTACAGAGTTAGATTATAAACATTTTTGGCTTGAAAGTAATGACTGCAGTAGCACATGGAACTTTGTCAACTGCTTCAGCACATTGTTTACGAATGACAGGATGTCCACAAGGAACAAAAGCAACAGCAATATTTCTATCCACACAGCTTTTGCAAAGCTGTTCTTCAGTACCAATCTCTTTCTACAATGAAATCTGACTTGATTCATTTTGTGAACTGTCTTTCTGAGCCTTCACTGGATCGGCAACCAAACCTCAAGAGATTTGTAGTTGCTCCCAGATCTTTGAACCTTTTTCCTCCATTATTTTCTTAATGTCCTTGAAACTGAACCCTTTTCATATAGCTCCTTGTAACATAGGATTATGGAAGATGGTCTCATCAATTTTTCTAGTTAGTGATGGTGTTTTTTCAGCAGTTCTTATGAAACACTCCTCAAATGAATGGGATAAATGAAGATTGTTTGTATTTTCTTGCGTCTTTGGTTCTAACAGATATTTACACCCTGAATAAAATTTAGCATGTTGTTTCCAAGGCTTCTTAGCTGGGCTTCCAATCAGTCAGCTCCCCTCCACAGTGAAATCACTTTACCACCTTCACCTAAAGCATAAAATCCAGCTCTTACATGGAAGGATGTATTTCTTGGAGAATTAGTGGAATTTGGAAAATTACACACCAGGACAACTAGCCCAAACTGCCCGCAACAATCAGCTTGATACAAGAGGAGGGTCCTGAAGGGGGTGCAGCCAGAGCCCCAATCTGGAAATGCCAATTTGGCTCTGCAGCCGGGCCCCAGGCACTTGGGCCTACCATCCCTCGATTAGCGCCATGTGGGCTCCGGAGTCACCAAGGTCCTGCCGCTTCCCCAAGCCAGAAACAGGCAGCAAGAAAAAAGGAAGTCATCCTACCACCCCCCCACCCCACCAACCTCCACCCCAGCTGTAATCCAGAAACTGTGGCAATTCTTAAGACACTTCTAGTAATTTTAAAGCTAGCTTATTTATTAAAGATTTTACATAAGTTAAGTAAACTTGAAAAAGCATTTGAGTAGTGCTTTCCTTTTTTCTGATAAAGCACTTTTATTGTCTTAAGCCAACTAATTAGAGATCCTCTACATATTTTCAGTAGTGAAAACTTGTGTACACAACACATAAATACAAAGACATATTAGGGATGCCGATAGAAGTATATCTTATAGATTCATAAAGACCTTTTTATTTTTTTTTTTCTATCTTAGACTTTCTAGTTCTTGATAACCTGTTTCACTACTTTGGCAGTTGTCAGCTAAACAGCCCTTTATCTACATATTAAAGGAAACAACTCTTAGATGAAAAATCAGATCACAAAATTTACATCTCAAGGTACAGAAGAAAAAGTCTGGTGGTACTAGAGGGAGATTAAAGATGGATGCCAAATCCACCATAAAATTATAGAAATCTACCATGGATTGTATAGCAGACCAATTTTATTTAAATTTAATAAAAATAATTTTAAATAAAATTGGTCTGCTATACAATCCATGGTAGACTGAGACTACTTTTTTTTTTTTTTTTTTGAGACTGAGTCTCACTCAGCTAACCAGGCTGGAGTGCAATGGTGCATTCTCAGCTTCTCAGCTCACTGCAACCTTCGCCTCTCAGGTTCAAGATTCTCCAGGCCCAGCCTCCCAAGTAGCTGGAATTACAGGTGTGCACCACCATGTCTGGCTAATTTTTGTATTTTTAGTAGAGATGGGGTTTCACCATTTGGGCCAGGCTGTCTCAAACTCCTGACCTCAGGTGATTTGTCCATCTTGATGTCTCAAAGTGCTGGGATTACAGGTGTGAGCCACCATGCCCAGCCAAGACTACCTATCTTTTAACTGGATTTCTGAGCTCTGAGCAGAGCCTACCCTGAATCCTGGTCTCCAAGAAGGGAGAATTATTACGAGGCTAAACCATGTGATGCTTTTATAGTGCACTTTAAAAAATTTTTTTTAAACATTTCTACATGTCTAAACTACAGTCTTCCTTGAAAACCCAAGAGTAGCCTCTGTTGCAATAGCTAATCAAAAATATAATAGTCCAAAAAAATCAGGTAATACAATACAAACATAAGCAGTTTAAGAGCTGAAACAAACTTGTCTGTTTATACTCTAGGGATTCCAAAAGGAAAAATAGAAGTTTCTCCCAAAAGGGATCCTGGTACCTTCTCCATTTTCTTTAAGGAACCCCAGGCTATTATAATCTATTTTAGGTCTCCGCAGCAGAGGGTGGAAAAGAAAGGAGAGACAGCAGAAGTAAATAAAGAAAACAGAATTCAGTCAATTGAGAAGGAAAAAACTTTTGCTCAAATAAAGACAAGTTCCTAGGAGAGGAAAAAGAAAAAAAGAAAGGCCTTTTAAATACAAACACGCACATATACACACACATCTTGGATGTTAGCTTTTAATTAAGATGACTTTTAACCATTGAGCTCCTTTAAAAAAAATCTTTTAAAATCTTACTACCATATTTCAGCTAGGACAAATTGCTGCTATTTCAGAAGTACCAAGTATCAAACCAGAAAAGGCCTGATTTAGGAACCAAACCCAGGCTGTCATGGTGGAAAAAAAGGCAGAACCTTAGCTATGGAACTGCAGCATGGGGCAGCAGACATTGCTCTTTCAGTTTGGCCTGGCTAGCAAAAAGGTGGCCTTGTTTTGAAAATAAAGCCCCTTTAATAGTCAAAATAAAAAAATTTTTTAAAAACTTCCCTTTTTTTTTTTTTCTGTCCGTTTTCTCCCCCACCACACCACGTTTTTTTTGGTGGGGGGGTGGAATTTAGCCACTTCAGAGGCCTTGTTCCCCATAATTCTTTCCTTTGGATTTGATCAAGTCGGATAGAGTAGGTCAAACCCAATGGGAAAAAGACCGAAACAACAACAAAAACAGAAACAAAGAGTTAAGCAAAAAAAAGATCGTACAACTTATATGTTTACTGAGTGCTCTCTCTAATGGTAAGGAGAAATTAAGACCAACTGGTTATTAATCTTTAGCCCAGACAAAAGCCCAATTCAACTACTTACCTAGGGAGGGGTCTCAGGCTGAAGATGGCTCTCCACCACCCTAGAAGCAGGAAAATAACTTGAACTCATCGTCCCTGCTGGGAATGAGCTCAAACTCCTTAAAGGAGTTACCTGCCTGCCATCATCATGGAAGCAGGAAATCTTGCCTTCCTTGTTGGAAGCAACTAAAACTCAAAAAATAAATAAATAAATAAACTTTTAATCTCGACCAAATTTGGAAGACCAGGTTTTCTCTGGAGGAGATACTTTCAGACCTCAGCAAATTGTCCTATTAATTTGAGCCATAAAGTTAGCTCATGCTAGTACCAAGTAACAATAGCTGTCAAAGGTAAGGGGCATCTCCACTCAGAATTCCTTCCTGGCTACCAAAATGTGAACCCCAAAAATCTGAGACAGGTCTCAATTAATTTAGGAAGTTTGTTTCACCAAGGTTGAGGATGCATACCTGTGACACAGCCTCAGGAGGTCCTGGTCACATGTGCCCAAGGTAGAGCACAGCTTGGTTTTACACATTTTACGAAGATGTGAGACATCAATCAATATATGTAAGAGGTACATCAGTTCCATCCAGAATGGCAGGACAACTTGAAGTAGGGAGGGAGCTTCCAGGTCACAGGTAGGTGAAAGACAAACAGTTGCATTCTTTGAGTTTCTGATTAGCCTTTCCAAGGGAGGCAATAAGACGTGCATTTATCTCATCAGAGGGATGATGTTGAATAGAATGGGAAGCAGGTTTGCCCTAAGCAGTTCCCAGCTTGACTTTTTCCTTTAGCTTAGTGATTTGAAGGCCCCAATATTTATTTTCCTTCTATATCACTGTGGGCAGCAGAATAGAAAAGCTTCGTAGGACTGGCGGGCAGTGGGAGAGCCCAGTGGGGGGTGATTGTCCTATGCCCATGGTGGCAACCACCTGTGAGGCTGAATAAACTCATTTCCCCCCTCCTCTAGCAGCCTGGTGGAGATACAGAGGAAGCAGACCAGCGATACAACACAGTCTGAAATATTGTCTAGTGAGCGTAATGGAATAAAAATGGGAAGGGTGCTGAGGAGACCAGAAAGAAAATGGTTGAAGAGATGGGGCACAGAAATTAAGCTGACTCAAAACGGAAGGAAAAGCAGAAAGGGCTGATAGAGAGAGGGGATGTCTATGGGTTAGCCGTCCTGATAAGGACAAATCATTGGTGCTTTGAGAAGAGAGAGGGTGAGAAAGCAGGAAGGCTAGAGGCTGTTATCCCAGAGGACATCTGTGAGCATGATTCTAAGAGACACCAGACCATGGAAGTGGCCAAAGACTTAATCAAACTCCACAGCTTCTGCACAGCAAAAGAAACAGTCATTAGAGTGAATCAGCAACCAACAGAATGGGAAAAAATTTTTGCAGTTTACCCATCTAACAAAGGGCTGATATCCAGAATTTACAAAGAACTAAAACAGATTTACAAGAAAAAAACAAGCCCATTCAAAAGTGGGCAAAGGATATGAACAAATACTTAACAAAAGAAGACATATCTGAGGCCAACAAACATTTGAAAAAATGCTCATCATCACTGGTCATTAGAGAAATGCAAATCAAAACCACATTGAGATACCATCTCACACCAGTTAGAATGGCGATCATTAAAAAATCTGGAGACAACAGATGCTGGAGAGGATGTGGAGAAATAGGAACACTTTTACACTGTTGATGGGAGTGTAAATTAGTTCAACTATTGTGGAAGACAGTGTGGCAATTCCTCAAGGACCTAGAAATAGAAATTCCATTTGACCCAGCAATCCCATTACTGGGTATATATCCAAAGGATTATAAATTGTTCTACTATAAGGACACATGCACACAAATGTTCATTGCAGCATTGTTTACAATAGCAAAGACCTGGAACCAACCCAAATGCCCATCGATGATAGACTGGACAGGGAAAATGTGGCACATATACAGCAGGAATATTATGCAGCCATAAAAAACGATGAGTTCGTTTCCTTTATAGGGACATGGATGAACCTGGAAACCATCATTCTCAGCAAACTGACACAAGAGCGAAAATCAAACACCTCATGTTCTCACTCATAGATGGGTGCTGAACAATGAGAACACATGGACAGAGGGAAGGGAGCACTACACACTGCAGTCTGTTGGGGGGAAATAGGGGAGGGACAGCAGGGGGTGGGGAGTTGGGGGGAGATAACATGGGGAGAAATGCCAGATATAGGTGATGAGGAGGAAGGCAGCAAATCACACTGCCACATGTGTACCTATGCAACAATCTTGCATGTTCTTCACATGTACCCCAAAACCTAAAATGCAATTTAAAAAAAAGAAAGAAAGTGCCTCTTCTCACCTCCTGCTCTTAATTCCTTGTACTCAAGACAATACGTTCCCTGAAAAGAAGTACCCATATTTAATCCATCTGTGTCTTCCTAGCAGTACTAAAAATATTACATGAACGGTATCTAAACCTTTGAGAATGTGTGATGCTATATTGTTAAGGATGCTGGAAAACTCAGGACACCCCTGTGTGGTGAGCCCAGTGCAGGTCTCCATTTGAACAAAGGCCTCAGGGAACTAATGAAACATAGGGACAGGGATACCTGCCAGAGGAGCATTCCCCATCCCACTGCAGCCCAGGCCAGCTGACCACTTTATGAGTAAATATCGCCAGTGAACACTTTGCAGTCATAACACATATGCCCACCTATGACCACTGATCCCTGTAGGGTGATCACTGGCATCAGAGATTTGATGGCAGTCATGAAGACAAGGCCATCCTCATTAGGAAGGGAAGGAAGGAGAAGGGAGGAGCGCAAACGAATCTTTCCTGCTTGTCGACCACACCCGTCTCTGTTAGGTGATTTCCCATGGCTGACTTTGTTTATCTTTATAATAACTCTGAGAATTAGGTCTTACTGTCCACATTTTGAACATGAGGACATCCGGCCAGGAAGCTGAGTAACTTCCAGGGCAAAGCTACATCCAATCCCCTCTTTGTTTTTTCCAGCTTACCCACTGAGTGCCCCCTAGAATCCACCAGCCCATTTGCAGAGTGCTTACTATAGGTAAGATGGCACAGGAGGAGTCGACATGGGCAATTTTGTCATGGCTCTCCAGGAACTTACTCACTGGTGAACAGGAGCAGGTATGTTCCCAACCAGTCACAATCAAAGCGGGAATGCTATGTTGAAAGGTTCTTTTCTGGCTTTTAAAATGATGGGTTTGTTTCCTCGTTCTTAAGATTGCTTTTTCACTGACTAGAACTTAAAAGAAATTTTCACAAAAATTTCCCTTCCCTGGCGCAAAGTGAGCTTGAAATGAATCCCTGTGTGCCTTTGATATTTTAAAATATTGGCCTCCTGTAAAATCAACCTTTGGAAGAAGAAAGTCAAAGAACATGCTAGATTTCATAAAGTCTAGTTTCTTGAAATCCAGTTGTCTACAGGATAATGTTGTCAAAGAAAAAATTATTTGGCTGGGTGCATTGGCTCACTCCTGTAATCCCAGAACTTCGGGAGGCTGAGGCAGGTGAATCACCTGATGTCAGGAGTTCAAGACCAGCCTGACCAACATGGGGTGAAACCCCATCTCTACTAAAAATACAAAAAATTAGCCTGGCATGGTGGAGGGCACCTGTAATCCCAGCTACTCTGGAGTTTGAGGCAGGAGGATCACTTGAACCTGGGAGGAGAAGGTTGCAGTGAGCCAAGTTCAAGCCACTGCACCCCAGCCTGGACAACAGAGCAAGACTTCATCTCAAAAAAAAAATTATTCAATGACATTTTTTAATTCACAGTAAGGAAGATTTTTATTCATAGCCAGCACAGAAGACATAGGCACCACTGCAATGGGACTTCGCAGTGAGGGAAAGAGATTGGACACAACTTCATACAGAGCACAGGCAAGGACATAGTCAGAGCCAGGAAACAGAGCAGAGATCCGTGGATGCAAAATTACCAAGAGGAAATATGAAAAATAAGGCAGCTTCTGCCTAAACCCACCTAACAGGATCCTTGCTGAAAACAGGACAGGGTAATTAGACACCATCTTGGGGATGGTGGAGAATGGGGATTTCAATGAGATTTCAAAGGTCATCAAATATTAAGGGTGATCAGATATTGAGCATAGAAGTTACTTGATAAAAGAGGATTTCACAAGAAAGTGTACAAATGTGCCTAGGAGAAGGTTCAGGAGCCTGACTAAAATTTGGTCAAGCAGAGAATATATGTCAGTGTAGGAGCTAAGTGTTCTGACAAACAACAGATGTTAAGCCAGCCAGGGTGACATGTGCTCCAAGAAAGCACTGAGGGCTTATTTCCTTTTACCCCAGTCTCCACTCAGTCAAGTGTAATCCCCTTGTCAATGCAGCCATTTGTAAGAAGGCAATCAGGCAGGGTCGCAACTCCTAGTGACAGAACTGAATGACTCAGTTCTGCTGAAGAGAATGGCCTGGAGCTGACACTGAGATTTCAGAGTCCTGGGATTCCCCAAATCACAGCGTAGTGCCATGCCCTCTCTCCACCCGAACGCCCAGTGTGAGCAGGAGCAACTGCAACTGAGATCTGCCTGATCTGCTAACTAGTCTTGTCCCTCAGCTATAAACTGACCTTGGCAGCTGGCCAGAGAGATGACCAAGAGATCTCTGATGTCTTTAAGCCCCTGTGGAGAAGGACTCTGTTGGGGAAGGTCATTCTCTTGACTGAGCAGCAATTTCAGAAGGAAGTCCCACGCAGAAGTGAGAGAAAGCAGGGAATCCTGCCAAGTCAGCTAGAGCAAAACAATAGGACAGGACCCAGGGATGTGATCCTCCCACCCAAAGGCACTGAACTAAATGACTCTAAAATACTTTCCAGGACTCATATTCTTTGAAGAACAGGGAGTAAAACATAAGACACATAAGACAGGAGCCAGCAAGTGAAGACTTGGAAGGAGATGATTCATTCAATCAGTCTCCATTGAGTAATTTTAATCATTCACACTGGCATGGGGACGTGATATGAATAAGTTGACAGGGGTTTACTCTGATTAAGCCATGGCTTGTGCAGTCTTGACCTGTCAGTCAAGAGTAAACAGGAGATGATTTCAGACAGTGAGAACAAAATTAACAAAGCCATGTGCTAAAGTGTGGCTGAAACTACAGATGAGTTTAAGAATTGAGAGGTCTGGGGAGTTGTTTGTTTTGTTTTGTTTTTAAGACAAGGTCTTGATTGGGCATGGTGACTCATGCCTATTAGTCCCAGCACTTTGGAAGGCTGAGGTGGGAGGATCTCTTCCACACAGGAGTTTGAGGCTACTCTGGGCAACATAGCAAGACACTTCTCTACAAAAATTGTGCAAGTTGAGGCTGCAGTGAGCAGAGACACACTGCTGCACTCCAGCCTGGGTGACAGAGCAAAACCCTGTCTCCAAAACAAACAAACTAACAAAAAACAGAGTCTTGCTGTGTCACACAGGCTGGAGTGCAGTGGTGCAATAA